GATGGTGGTCAAACAATAGCAAATGTTGCTAGATAAAATACAGGATTGTTTGGCCAGGGCCTTAAGCAGTGGAAATTCAAAAATTGTGAAGAAAATGGATATTTTCGCCCAGCTTTAAAGTGTAAATATAGAGAGTTGGTTGGACACCCTTCCTGAATCTGAGTCAAGGCCAAAACATTTGAGAAAAGCTACTGAAGAAGGAGCAAACAATAAAGATGAAGCAGAACACATCAAATTTTTTGATTGGACGTTTTCTGCATCTGCAACAGAAACCCTGCCAATTTCAAGTCAGCTATGAGAGAAAAGATGATAAAATCGGGTGTGGCATATGCATTCGACATTTAGACATTTTATCAACATTTGCTTTTTCCTGGCCTTCAAGAATGATGGCCTCTGAAATTGAAAATAGATTTAATTTCAATCCTGCTAACACATCTCTATTTGAATAACAGTAGATGATACCAAGAAGACTTCTGGTTCTCAATCTCTTTCACGGCCCTTAGCTTTTCCTGTTCAAAAAATCAAGAAGCTTTGTATTCCGGTCAGCACAAACATAATATTTTCAATACATTTGAGCTTTCATCATACACTATAAAATTATTTTATTAAAATAAGCAAAGCACAAAAATACTCTTTAAACTGATCCCTTAACAAGATTTGAGAAGAAAAAGTGTGTGAAATACTGCCAATTCCACTAAGAATTGATTCTCAGAAAAATAATTTTCAGAGTGAATGATTCAAACTTTAAAAGGTATCAATAGATACCTAAGTGGCTTAGAGGTCATATGAGGACAAATGCAAATTTTACAATTTTTAACTGTATCAATATCAACGCAAACTGATTTCTCTTTTGTTAATTCCCCAAAATACCTTCCAATTAATTTTGAAAAGATTGAAAATGAAATAATGGAATCATTCATCAAAAGTGACACTCTGCGATCTGAAAGTCAAGATCTATCAGCCAAAAGAATTGAATTAGAAAATCATTGGAACCTGTGGAGTTGCACCTTGCTCAAGTTAAACTGTCTATTTCTTCATTGAAAAGTTAAAGTCTAATAGTTCTGCAGCAAGGTTTTACACTGGTTTTACAAACTTTCCAACACTGATGTCAACATTTGAAAACTTGGAACCCAAAGTTATGCAAATGCAACTGAAAGTTGCTTTGTTTGTTGATGATTTAGCTGATCATTTTGAAATTTCTTCAAGTCAGGTTTCAAAAATCTTTACAACAGTGATTTGTTTTCTCTACCATGAACTCATAGTGCTTTTCAAACCCTCTTTCTCAAGAGGTTGTTCGTCAAGCCATGCCTGCTCAATGTAAAGACTTCCCAACAACAAGATTAATTATAATTGAATGCACAGAAATATTTGCAGAAGTTCCATCATCTATGAAAGCACAGTCACAAACATGGTCTGAATACAAGCACCAAAATAAATGGAAAGTTTTGATTGGCATATCACCTTCTGGCCTAATTACCATTATGTCAAAGTTGTGGTCTGGTAAGGTCTCTGATAAAGAAATCACTCCAAAGTCAGGCGTTCTAGCACTTCTTGAGGATGGTGACAATCTTATGGCTGACTATGGCTTTAATTTCAAAGATATTCTTCCTCCTGGTGTGACTCTAAACATCCCACCTTTTAAGGGTTCACAAGCACAACTCAGAATGAATGAGACGAAGAAACTGCTAGCATTGCTTCTGTACACATTCATGTGGAGCATGCCATTGGAAGGGTGAACAATTACCATATCCTTGATGATGTCCTTCCATTATCATTGCATTCAACGGCTAATCAGATTGTCACTGTTTGCTGTCTACTTACAAACTTTTTGCCAATTTGAGTTGAACCTAATGATAACAAATGAAGTACTTCTATATATATCTATAAACTTTCTATACATTTATCTATCTTTGTTTAAGCCATGTTACATCTATTCTGTATGCATAGTAAACAATGCTATTTTGTAAAAATTATATATGTTCCAATACTTTAGAACATACACAATGTTAAACCTACCCTGTATGTATAGTATACGATGATATTTTGTAAAAATTATACATGTACCAATACTATACAGCATACACAATATGTTTACTTGAATACATATTTAGCGATGGAAAACTCTTTAAAAAGGTTTCAGTAATTATTATGTTTAGCCAACGATATTGAAAAATGTTGCAAACAGGATTTATTTTCTGCGTGTATATCTTAATAGTGTCATAAAGGGGAAAATGCGTGATGCTGGTCATGGCAGCACGGGATTGCAGGCGCAAACACTCCACATTGTTGGAAACATGAGGTCAGTAGTTAAATCAGAAAATGTCAAGAACAGGTTAGGTGTGGGGAAGAGACTAGCATTAAAAAAAGTTCGAAAAGGTAAATGAGTAGCTATCTATCAGTAAAAGTATCAATTTCTATCATCTATCTATACCTACTTTTCAAAATAAAAGCAATGACACGAAATGGAAGTCACTACAATTCCACCTCCTGGATTGTAGTGGAAGTGAATAACAGGCAACATTGCCGCAAGCAAAAATGTCAACTAACTAAAAATCTAGCTTTTCCAACAATATGAAATTATCACTGCCGACTTTGCAAAACTGTAAGGTTTCACATGGTAACTTTCTTTCATTGTGAATTTATTGCCTATTTTGGCAGGGCAGAGGACTTTAGCCAGCAGTTTTATCTTTTGAATTCCACCTCGTTGATTGTAGTTGAAGGGAATAACAGGCAACATTGCCGCAAGAAAAAATGTCAACTAACTAAAAATCTAGCTTTTGCTAGAACACGAAATTATTCTGAAACTAAATTCTCAATCATTTCAAGTGGGAGCAAATTCGAAGCTTTGGTACATGCGTTAAAGTAGTTTTTAAGAAATTTTTTGATAAATGTGCAAAATTTCTCGTGGCAAACGACTGGGGCATAAGCTAAAATGGTGTCTTTCATGTGATGAAAATGGCTGTCAAAAAGGTAATTGTTTTTATTTTTTATTATGATGGCCATCGCTTTGTCAGGGTTTATTATCAAAACAATCACAACCTTTCTCTTTTGTGATGATAACCTCTCTATTTGTCCTAACAGATCTTGCAAGTCCATCACAGCCTTCCGTGGCTCGGACATATACAAGCCAAGGTGACCGAGTTGTATGATGTCTTCAACATACATGTTTTAGTTCCCATCTATTTTTGGTAATATTCTATAAAGAGCATTGCCTCCATTGATAATTCTTATGTATTGTCTGGCAAGACTTTCGTGGTTATCATTGACCATCAAAAAAGAATCATTCAACCAATGAAGACAGGCAATCGCGGAAATGACACAGCAGGAATTGATTCCGTCAAACATATTGATGTCGTTATGATTAGTCAGTCCTGGCTGACTGTATTTCTACGGCAGACTTATTTTGGTGACAGACCCAATTTTAAAGACAGAGAGATCAGTTTCTGTTATATCGGGACTGAAAGATGATGTTAAATGCCATGAACATCCACGAGGTACTTTTATGCCCTCATTGGAGCAAACTTTCCCAGACCTGTTAAATTTTCTTTTGCTTTTTCTTCCACTGTGGCCACGTGATGAGTGCATGCATTTTTTAGAATGGGAAGGCCTAGTTTGCCCATCCACTTTAATAATCGCTGTCTTTTCTCTACTATTATCGGGTTTTGCAGGTTTTGAGGAGTCTTAACTTGCACGAAATTTTGCGGATTATATCATTAGATTTTTCTTCGAAAATATCATCAAGGGGTCATTCCATGTCAATGTGAAACAGTCACATAACCCACCACCTCAGATTTTGATGATTTTTAGTCGACATGTTGAAAACCATGACATAAACATAAACTGAAAATTTCATCTTCATATCTTTTACTATTAAAAAGTTAGACGGGTTTGAAATTTTAATAATTTTGGCACATTTTTCAATGATCCGCCATTTTGAATTTTTGCTATTATTCACTTAAATTAGAACCAATGAAGAAATGATACATTTAAAATGAAAATAAACCAGACAAGCTAATCAACTATGTAGATGTCAAAAACATGATCAAAAATTTCCAGTCACAAACAAAAGTCATTCTAAATATAGAAAAAGAAGGGGAATTTGTTGCCATGGCAACATCCGGTGAGGATAATGGTGTGAATTTCATCATGTTGCTTAAGTTGGAATGATTTGAGTTTTTAAATTTGATTAGAGTACTAAAGGAACAAGTAAGATAGAAAAAACTGTTAGGGTGTTTTCTTCCTTTATTGAAATATGGCATGTTAAAAATTGCCCAAAATTAGCATTTTCATGCAACAATCAAAGTAAGATATTCTCTCTTTTAAGCAAAGAGTGTTCAGTAAATCTAAAGAAAACAGTGTTGTGCATCTTTTAAAGCTCTGACTTCAACATCTTACAAATATATGATTCAAAAAGGTCATATTCACTGAGTGTCAATTGATATCAATGCAACAAACTTTCAATTATTTGACAAATTATGTACATTAAAATCTACAAAATGCTCAATTATATACATGTTGTCTACAGTTCTATTTCAAGAGCATCTTTTGGTTCAAAGGTGTATTGCCTTCCAGTCATCGTTGATGGTTTTGGTGGTTGTACCTTTTTCAGAATGTTTGATGTTGGCACCCAACATACGTCATCACGCCTTGGCCACATAAATGATACACATGGCAAGTGTGGATGCAAAAATTTTATGGCAACATCTTTATTCTCACTACTGACTTCAATAGTCACTCCAACCCAGCAATGTGTATCATACCTGCACACAAGATAATCCCCGATTTAAATATCGTCATGAGGTTCAATGACAGCTAGATTGAAATCAAACTTGACATCAAATTCAGGGGTTTCTGATATTGTTTTTGCTCCAATCAATGCTTTGGATTGCGG